TGTGAGGGCCACTGGAGATTTTTTTGACTATCATGTCCATGATGTGACGCTCAAAGTTGGCCAGCGCCAATGCATGTAGGCACTTTCAATGCCAGTGTTCATGCTTCAAATCATCAAATACAAGAGTTTAACAGAAACCGTTCAAACACTGGTGCTGCAAACCAACAAACCAACATCAATCTCTTTATATAGTCTGGAATCCGCAGCGCCTTTGGTCTGGAAAGAGCCAGGAGCCTCAGCCAAGTTTGCAAGTCAGAGCTCCAGTTGGTTTTAAACCCATGCAACTCCAGTAAAAACTTTTTACCGCCAGATCATTGGGCCAGGTTTCAGAGTATATAGTGTGTGGCTTTTTGCAAGTCTTGATGCAGGGCGTGATTGTGAAATGTGATTCCTCTTTTTTCCAATATGGATCATTGGCTCAGATTTGAAAGCACACGTGTGTTTTTCCTTTGGAGTGAAAGCATGAGCATGGCAATGGTCGAGCTCCCTCCTTCTGATGATGAGGGGATGGCCGCAGGAGATTTGTACCAAACCAACTTTGAACAGGCATCTTTGGTGGCTTTGATGCCCAGCGTGCAAGCCGCCCCAGTGGAACTTCCAGGTGATGTAACCTTGAATGACGTTTACGAATCTATGGACCGGAGCAGGCGCCGTCTTGAAAGTGTTTTTTGGGTTTAACGGTTTAACCTACCATCCATCCATCAACCATCCATTCATCCATTTGTCCATCCATACATCCACACACATAGGCATCCATGCGTCCTCTTGTTCCTTTTGGCGCCCAATGACCCTTCTTTCATGCATACATACATTTGTTCATACATACAGACTTGTGTGCACACAGAGAAAGCAAACACACACATATGTGCACGCACACATACATACATACAGACAGACAGACAGACAGACAGGCATACATACCTACACATGAAGACAGGCAGACAGAACCACAGACAGACAGATACACACAGACTGAGAGGCAGACAGACTCAGACAGAGACAGAAACTGACAGACACACACAGACAGGCTGACAAACTGATAGGCAGACAAACAGATACATACATACATGCAGGCATCTGTGCACACACACACATAGGCACAGTTGTCTATTTACACACTGAGATTCATACCTACATACATACTATACATGTACATAATTGATATAACCGTTTCACATATACACGCATACATTCATTTGTAGATTCATACACACAGACTATGTACTTGCATACACACAGGCAAACACACACAGAGGTCCATCCTGGTAAACACACACGCATACATACAGGCAGACACTGAAGCAGGCAGAGAGACAGACATACACACGTACCAAGCGCAATTTTTGCAACTTAACACCGTTCTGTATACCAATGTGCAACATCTTTGTTGCCTGCCTGGCTTTTACATAAAAGACAGGTGGACACCACAGATGCATACATGCAGGTTTGTTTGCTGCACTACTGACAGGTGGCAGTCAAAGATCTGTGGTTGCCGAAAGCAGTGCTTGGATGTGTTTGCAGCCAACTCAGAGATGCATGAAAAGATCAACTCTTTTCAGAAGAAGTTGGAAGACCTAAAGCCGGTGGACAAGACCGTTTTGGTTTTTGACATGCTGCGCAGGGCTAAGGCCATGCAGCAGGGCATGGGAAATCGGGATGGGATGATCTTCCTTGGCCAGCCTGTTTGCATGTCAGCTTTCCAGATTTTGACACAGTCATCAAAGACTTACATCAACCGCTTGGTGCAAGCAATTGATTCTGGGGCTGTTACGCCTCCAACTGATGGCAGGTCACTGCGGGAGCAGAGGGAGTCACCCCAAACTGCAAGCGCTAACGGTTTTTTCTTGCATCTCTATGAGAACCTTGCAGAGCCACTCGCTGAGACCATCCTTCCTGATCCAGATGATGATGGTGACCATGAATTGCATCGGGTTGCTGTTGCATCGGAAGCTTTTCAGAAAGGTGAGCGGGCAAAGGATGATTTCAATGAGTTCATTCTAGCAGAGGCGAACCCGGTGGTAGCATTGGGTGTTCCCAATGATGACCGAGAGCAGCGGTGGATCCCACATTGCACATTGGCCGACCTCTATGACCAATACTGCTTCAGCTTTGTCTCCCGTGGAGAGACACCATGCAGCCAGTCAGTGTTCAACAAGTGCTGGAAAGACAAATGGTGCGGTGTGATTCGCATCCGACGCGTGTCCCAACACGCCCAGTGTGACAGTTGTGCCAAGTACAAAGCTTACCGCCAGGCTGCCAAGACTGAGGAGGACAAGGAAAACGTGCAGAAAGCCTACCGTAAGCATTTGGCCCAGGTCTTTGCAGACCGGGACCTTGCTGGGAGTTACATCAAGCATGCTGAGCTGTCGGCAAAGGGGGACACTACAATTCCCTTCCGCCAGCGGACATTGATGATCTCGCTGGACGGCATGGACCAGGCCGGCGTGTTGAATGGTCAGTCTTTTTCTCCAGATCATGGGTCCACGCTGGTTGTATTTGTTGTGGCAATGGTTTTCTTTTCCAAGATCTGATCGCTTTTGTAAGCTGTCCTTGGAGCCTGCAGGCAAAGTACAAAGTGCCACGGAATATGGCGGGCTGCAAGCTGTTTGAATCTCACTGGAGGCCAACGCTTCACTGCGTTGGAATCTTGGTGCACGGAATCGCTGAGATCTACTACATCAGCAACCCTGACCTCCCAAAGAGCAGTAACACTCAGATGACAGTGCTGTGTTCCTTGTATGTCATCAAGGCACCTGTTTACTCTCTTTCTGATGTGGTGCATGTGTGTGTTTTCCAAAGTCTTTGGGGTGTGCGGCCAGGTTGATGTTGTTGGCTGTTGGATGGCACGTTTTTCCTGAGGTCAAGCCATCACTTTTGCACAGCGTGTGTTGGCTCACCGTGGATTGCCGCTACCGGAGCATTTGGTTGTCCAAACAGACAACACCTGCCGCGAATCAAGAAACCAATGGCTTTTCCTATGGAGCTCTGAGCAAGTTGCCAGCGGCCGGTTCAAGTCTATTTCGGCACCATTCTTTAGGGTTGGCCACACTCATTTTGTGGTAGATCGCAGGTTCTCCACTGTAGCTCAATGCCTATCCAAGGCTCAGGTATTGCAAACACCTCAGGCCAGGTGTGTTTTTGGTTGTCTGTAGGCTTTAAGACATTTGACGATGTAGTAGTCAGTGTTATAGCAATCAGTCATTTTGATGTTACATTAAAAAACTGTCATATTATTATTGTTGTTGACCAATTGAAATTTGTGTTTGATGTTGAAATTTGCCAGGCCTTCTGCAATGAGATTCTCACCAAGTTGCAACCTCTTCCAGGGCATGAACTGGTGGCAGAAGTTCTTTCAGGGTCCTGGGATTTTCAGCCTTGGTTGGCACGGCTGTCGGCAAGCTTCAGTGGCATTGCCATCACAGCTGATGAGCTGCCAGTGGCGCATAGCTTCAGGTTTGTGCGCAGGGTGGATGTAGATCTCTACGCTGGTTCTCACAAGTGGTCCATTGAGGAGGACTCCAGAAGTTTGTTTTCCAAAAAGAGAGGTGGTCTAGGCATTTTGTTTCACTTCTATTGAAGCATTTGGTTTGGAGACCAAAAGTTTGAGAGTTATTTTGCAGATTGAACTTGCGCAGGACAACCAGGAAGTCACCTTTGACAAGGATGTGATCCTTCTTACAAAGAAATGGATGACCAGTTCACAGCTCTCGCAGCATCCACTTTTGGTTCTTCCTGCTTCCAGGCTTCCTCGATTGGTTACAACATGCCCAGAAGCAGTCCTGTGCTGCAATGAACTCAGTGCCACCGCTTTGAGCAAGTACCGGAAGACAGCCGATGTTGTGGAAAAAGCACCATGGCACATGGCAGATGCAGCCCGCTACCTTCGAGAATGGTGCTTCCACAATGAGGGAAAAGTTCCATGCAAGCCAGAGGAGTTGACCATCTACGGCCACAGGTTCTGGCAGAAGAACGAGGCTATGAAGAGCCCATTGGCAATGCAAATGCTTGAGGGTCCTCAGGATGGTGAGGCTTGGCATGATTTTGCACCAGGCACGCCAAAGCGAATAGCTGTGAATCTGCGAACAGGGCCAAAGCCTACCGCAGTGAGTGCTGTTCCAGCTGCTGTAGCTGGTGTGGAGACTGAGGGCAGCATGCTGGCAGACTTGGTGCCCTCAGCCAGTCCAAAGCGCCCTGCTGCAGCAGCAGTGAAATCTGGTTCCCATCCCAAGAGGCTCAAGCGTCCAGCGGCATCTGCAGAGTTTGCCAATTCAGAATCTGCAGGGAGGGATGCATCAGGAGACATTGAGCCACCAGTGCCAGTGATGCGGCGCCCAGCTGCTGCAAAGGCGATTGCGCCAAAGGCCAAGCCACAATATGGCTGCACAAAGTGCAGATTTAAGAATGGTTGTGCTCAGTGCCATAGGTTCCGCCCAGGTTTTGGCAAGTGACCATGATGTTTCAAGGTGCTTGCTATGCATTCTACAATGGGCCACTGAATGTCTGGCAAGCAAGTTTTGGCATAAGTCCGCATAAGCCATAGACAGAAGGTTCAATCCAATTGTTTGCATTTCAGGCTTGCACAGCTCAGCCCTGCATGTCCACAAACGTCAATCTTTTGACTCCTTTAGGTTTGTGCGTGCAGTATACATACTTGCCAGAAGCAACCGGAAAACCCAGTGTGAGAGTGTGAGGGAAGGTCTTTTGCATTCTCCTGAAGCCACGATAGAATGGGGTTTTGCAGCTTTGCAGTAATTTCACTATTTTGTGGCACCTTTGGCCAACCCCACAACTGGAGGTACACATGCCAACTTGCAGAACGACGTGGGTGTGGTGATTTTGATGTTCTTGTGCAGGCTCATCAATACAAACATGGGAATCTCTTTGCAACACCTTCCATCATAGCTGTCATAGCTGTTCAGCCCTGTATATTCATTGACTTGCCTCATTCCTTTTGGTCTGGTAGGGGTCAAGTCTTTGGTTCTTTGATTGCAGGATTTTCAAACTGCCGTTCGCACTCTCTCAGCGATGTCCCAGTTTGGGACCCCAGTCCAGGTGATTTGTTCTTTGGCAGTCTGGCTAGTAGGCGTGAAGGGGTAACAACCACACACTGCTTTCTTTCCAGCATCTTCTGGTGAGCGTTTCAAGCATGTTTCAATCCTGAGGCCGCTTGTTCTGCCAGGAGCAAAGCTGCTTTGAAGATAGGGATGGTAGCTGCGGGGAAGTAAGACATCTTGCTTGATGTGTTGAATCACACACCAAAGGGTCGTTACACCAGTCAGAGCTTATGAATTCACTGGCGTCAGTCAAGTCTAGCAGTCTGCAGGCACATGGCAATTTGTTAGAGACCACCGGATAGTTTTTTACTGTAGATTCTTTCACTGGTACAGCAGATCTTCATGTGTCCAGTTGCTTGTTGCCTCATGTGTGAGGTGCGAGATGGCTTCAGGAGAATTTTCACGAACAGGTGCCACCTGCCAGCGCCCAGTGTTTTTTTTGAACGTGTGCCAGCTAGAGTGTAAGAAGGAAGAGAACCCTAAGCTAGCAAGGCCAAGGCTTCAAGAAAGAAGGTGTTGATGGTGTTAGTCTTTTGGCCCAAACCCTTGAATTTTTTGGAAAGCTCAGTCACACACAAGAGCACTTTTGGCTTGATACCTGTCATGGCCACTAAACGCCGTGCTGAAGATCAGGAGCTACCTCATGCTGCTGATGAGAGACTATCAAAGCAACGTGTGCATGGTGTGTCCAAGCCTGCCCCAAGAACTCCTGAATTCCCGGACCTTCCGCCTACCAGTACCACGCCTCCAGGTCCTGGAAATTGGTTTCTCAGGCCCACGAAGGATGAGAATGGAAATTGGGTGTGGAGGTTTTTCCACCTGACTAGGGAACCTCAAACACCGCCAGAGCTGCTGGGCTTGGCGCCATTGACGCCTGACTCTGAGAGTGCCGACTGAGGGTCATTGTGTCAGCCAAAAAGGTTGGCTGAAATCATTGCTGTGATGGCTTTTTCCATGCTGTCCATGTTCCACTTTTGGTTGTTCCATGTTCCTGTACATACATATATACCTTATATAAATATTTTGCGCTTATGGATTTCATGGACCTCTGATGCATGGGAGTCTTGTGGATAGTGCCGTCACGTCACACAGCTGCCTAGTTTGAAAGGGATGCAGACTTGCTGTCCAGTTCAATCTGACATGCCACAGTGTTTCCCTTACAGTAGTACTTCTGGCAGGAAATTGTGTGTATCAAAACGACTTTCTGCTTTGCCAGGTGCCTTTCACCTCCTGTGTTTGCAGGCTCGCTTCTGCTTCTACAAGTGTGGTTGAGTCAATTCTTGAGACGTCTCCTTTGGTGGAAGTAAAGACTTCAAGTCAAAGAGAACAATGAGGCTTGAGGGGTGAACAGTGTACTGCAACCAAGCGTTTGTTAGGTCTTGTTGTATATTTGATCTAGTTTTGGAGCACTGTGACTGGCTTTGTGATAGGGAAGGCCCATGTTGAGCATGTGTTTCCCTTGTTGGGCAATGGTGTGTGTTTTAGAGTGCGTGAGATTTCATGTTCAACGCTTCAGGTGGTACCCAGGATGCAGGACAGGATCTTCACAGACTTCTGGCCCGGGTCTCAAATAAGTTGTACCAGAATGCTGGCATCTTAGTTTTTTTTTGTGGGACTATATGCTAAGAGGCACCAACATTCCAGCTGGGTTGGGGTTCTGTTTTGAGTGAAGCGCCCAAGAAAAAATCAAAACAATGGCCCCCAAAACGGAGCCCCAAACAAAACTCAACTTTATCAGCTAGAGGTCAGCTGAATTTTCTGCAGTCCAACTTGGCTTCAAGTCTGTGCTGAAGCTCACCTGTGGAAAGAGTGAGTTGGGGGCAGCATGGAGTTGCCAATGGATGATGATTGTGAAGGCTTCCTGACTGGGCCGGGTCCAAAAAGAACCAGAAAGATCAAGCGTGCTAATCCAGTCAAGGCAGCTGTGGATAGGGGACTGCCCCAGCCTGTGAACCTCCAATCAAGATCTTGCAGGAAGAAGGCCAGGAGGCCACAAGATGGCAACAAGTCTCAATCAGAAGCTTCTGATGTGATTTTGCCGGGTGATGACATCGGGTTGGAAGAGCTGATGACAGACGTTTGCTGCTGCTTTGTTGGCAAGAAGCAGCGTGGGGCTCACCCAGCTGTTCTGCTTGTCAACCCTTCTCCTCCGCTGGTTGGGTGCAAAGAGGCTTTGATGGAGTTCTTCTCTCCTCCTCGATTTGTCCCAGTCTGTGTGGCAAATGGACTGCCGGCATCTTTGTCATGGGACCTAGAATTTGGTTGGGATGCAAATCTGCAGAGAGACAGAGATAGGGCATGGAAAGCTTTGGATGAGCAGGACCCGCTTCTGACCACGATGAGTCCTGAATGCACAATGTTTTCTATTTTGCAAACCAATGTGAACATTGCCAAGATGAACCCTGAAGTGGTTGAACGTCGCATGAAGGTGGCCATTGAGCACATGAAGTATTGTGCTGAGATTGCCCGGAGCCGGAGTGCAAAGGGTCGCAAGTTCCTGCTGGAACACCCCTCTGGCGCGTCTTCTTGGAAGCTACCATGCATCCAGGCACTCTGCAGGGAACTTCCCAACTGCAGGATTGCTCACTTTGCACAATGCAGGTATGGTCTGAAGTCACCTGCAGGCAAGCCAATTCAGAAACTGACCAAGTTCTTGACAAATTGCGACAGCATCTTCCACGAGTTCAATGGAAAGGGCTGTCAGTGCGAGGAGGAGCACCAGGTCATTCAAGGGTCTGTTGATGGCATCAAGCTTTCCAAATGGGCCCAGGTGTATCCAAAGCCCCTTGTGCAGGCTGTTGTAGATTGCTGCCGTCAAGAGTTTGCAGCCTCCTAGATGCAGCGGCTCTAGGGAATTTGAGCCATGTTGAGGCTAGCACTTGTTCTGGTGATTCAGCAGCTGGTGGGAAAAGACATTGTTTGTGCTCAGCTGCAGGTTTGTTTTAGATGTTGAAATGTTGAATGTAGTGCAGACCAATTGCCACTCCGGCTTGAAGATTTTATACGAGTCAGGTGCTTCAAATTTTAGCGGCGTGAGTGAGAGAATGGAATATTATGCAAGATTCTTTTCATGAGCTATATGATTTTGAACGGACGCTGCATTTTCGACGGATGAACAATTTTCGACGGATGCGTTTTTCCACGGACTCAGGAATTTCAGCGGATCATGGAAGCCAGACTTCCTGGTTGGGCCAGGCAGGCAGGGTGAATCCAGGAGAACTCTGGTGCATAATTTTTGTCTCTGAACATCTGCTGGATAAAACTTTATCCTTTGAGGAAATCATAGTGGAACATTGGAATGAGCAGATATGCACCATCCCATGGGACAAGGGGGTGGTACTGCTGGATCTAGGGTTGTGGAGGGAGACCAGAGGGGATAAAATTTTATTCAACAGATTTTTGGATCGAGGTTTTGTGCTTCCTGATTTCTGCTGGATGCTGACCTGTCAGGTGCTGGGTGTCTTGCTGTCAGGCCCCTGGTGTACAGGCTATCCGTCGAAAATTTTCAATCCGGCGGTTTTTGGTAATCCGTCGATTTTTCTCCAACCGGCGATTCCCGTTGACTTTTTTGCATCCAGCAATCCCTACCTCCACAGTTCCCTTTAGAAGCTAGATCTTTTAAGCCTGCTTCAGCCTTCAGGATTACAAATCTGTTCTTTAGTGTTCTAGAGACCTGGCCTGGAACTTGGACAGCCTGAGAAGAACCAATGCCTTCATGATCAAGTGTTGATGAGGTGGGCTGAGAAGAATAATGCCAGGAGTGCTGTGGGTGCCTTGTTCTCAGACTGCGCGAGAATAGGTTGAGCTCTTCTATATCCTAGGCTCTAGAGCATGTGGGCTGTAAAAACGATATAGTCAATCAATGGGCCTTAGAAGTTGAAACCCTTGTTGAACACAAGAATGACCACAGAGTGGTTTGGAATCAAGTCCTGTATGGAGTTTTTACTTGCCTAGAAAGTCTTCGCCACAACAGCAACAACAACAACAGCAACAGCAACAATTGCCACATCAACAGAAACAACAGCTGCAACAGCAACAAAAGAGAAGAAGAAGAAGAAGAAGAAGAAGAAGAAGAAGAACAATAGGAACAAGAACGACAACCAAACAACCAACAACAGCAACAAACAACAAGAGCAACAACAACAACAACACCAACATCAGTCACTATAACACAAGGGTTGATTCTCCACACGATGTGAGGCCAGAAGACAGCATCCTGCTGTGATGTTCCGAGGAGGCCTTTTTGTTCATTCTCTTTGGCAGACAGTCTAGCAAAGAGCTTCAGACTCCTTTTGGTAGGGTGTTCTTTTCTGATAAAGCTGCCAACGCTGTGTTTGTTGCAATGGCAAGTGTTTACCCAGCTGTCCACACTGCTTCACATTGTTGAAATCAACAGTTTTGGTTTTTGTGGCTTTGAATCTCAAGCATTGGCCTTGCGTACACTGTACGTGGGATAGTGGATTTAACAGCTCACACCAACGTTGACAGCATGAGTGCCAGCAAACAAGAGCCAGGGACTCAGAAGGAGGAGGCGGAGGAGACCCTAGCTGGATTGATGCCGCCAACGGAAGTTGGTGGGGCTGCTGCACCAGGCACCCCCAAGTCCACAGCAGCTGACAGTGCAATGCAGTTCGAGGTGGCAATCATGCCAGATGAGAGCCAGACTGGCGTTGATGCTTTCAAACACGGTGTCTTGAAATCTCTGACAAAAGTGTTGGACAAATTTGGCAACGTGAGCAATTTCCTTCAGCGGAGGCACCAGTGTGATAAGGAGCGCCAAGATTTTGCCAATAGCCTTCATCATCTTTGCAGAGCAGGCCTACCTGACTGGGATGTTGAGGAAGGCAAGCTGCCATCATCAAAGGTGGAAGCGGTGCAGATGAGCAACTGTCTCAAACTGCCTGTGGCAGCCTTTGCTTTTGATCCACACTGTGCTGTGCGATCCCCACCTGACAACTGGCACATCTTGGAGCTTGCTGAATCCATTCTGAATGAAGGGTTCATCACCACCACCGATCCAATCATGGGGATGCAGAGCGCGGAAGTACTTCAAGGTGCAAGCCTTGCTCATGTCCAGCCCCCTTGGTCTGGGAATTTGCTGCCTTTTTCAGTAGGCTTTTCCAAAGGCCGAGCTCGAATTCACACGTTGCTGGCAATCTTGAGGGTGGCTTTTGATAACAAGCTCGACATTGAACAGGCAGGGTTGTAGAAGTTCAGGTGTAACTTGTAACCCCTGTTGAACAAGTATCCATTGTTTTGTCAAATGAGCAAGATCTTTTTCTACCCAGCAGGGATGGTTGTAGAAACACCAGTGATGGTGTACTGTATCCATTTTTGCAATCAGCAAAGTTTTTTACTTGTGTGCAGCAGGTTCACCCTGTGCTGGCAGAGTCGGTGGTGAGTATCAACGCCCACATCTTAGAGCATGCCTCCAAGCAGCAGGAGTTGATCTACAATTTCAAGCTGTCCAATCGTGGATCACTGCGGAGGCCACCGTCCATCATGGAATGGGTCCAGAGCATTAAACAACTTCGCGGGCAAGGTGCTGATGTTGACCTGCAGGCAATCATCAAGAAGTTCAACCACGGCACGATCAAATCATTGCAATTGGGTGGAGCCAAAGCTGTTGCTGTCAGGAACCTTCTGGAAACAATGCCTGCCTCAGCCTTGAATGTCATTGAGGCCCATGTCCAGAAGCTTGGGTGGCAGAACAGCTGCTTCTCAGATGATTGCTTGAGCAGCAAGCGGGTGTTGCCAACCTACAATTTCCGTCACCAAGCTGGTGGATTGTGGTCCAAGCTTGGCAAGATGGGCGAGGAAGCCACTTTGTGCCTTTTCAAGCATGTGACAGTTGCCTATGAGACAACCCCTCCAGCCGCCCGGAAATCTTTCAGCAAGGCGGAATTGGATGAGAAAGCTGAGGAAGCAGCTTTTGTGGTGAATTGTGCAAGTTTGGCCTTGAATGAGGCGCCGGTCAATTACGCTGAGCTGTACGAGAAGTTTGTAGGACCATACAGCGAGAGTGACCCCAGCGTTCTCTTGGAAGTTCAATGTGCACTTGGGCAGAAGGACCCAGCTTTTGCTTTGCGGTCTTTGAAGCCTTTGAAAGACGCGCCATGGGCTCAGCGCTCAAGTGACAAGTGTATAGAACAAAGCAACAGAAAGCTTACAAGTATGTCTAGGACATGTGTGAGGCTACCAGACTAGAATCATCCCTGCAACCAAACCTTTTTGATTTTTTGTTGTTTGTTTCATTGAGGCTGGATGCCCATGCCACCAGCCGACCACTTGGGGATGACCCATCACAAAGTGTGCATTTATCCAACTTGGAAGCAGACGCCTACGAGCTTCTGCAGCGAAGAATTGAGTATGATTTGAAATGCTTCAGGGTCTACAAGTCCAAATTGGAGAGCCATGAGACCGCACAGTTTCATGCTGAGTTGAACCATCGGAAAGGAGCCTATGATGCTTCTCTCTCAGCAGCAAAGAAACTGATGGCTTCCAACGTCAAGGTGATCAGCTCTCCAAATTTGCACACCGTCCTCCAAGAGTACAATGACTTTGTGGGCCAGTTTTGCAAGATGTTTGGCTTGGCAAAAGAATCGCTGGTCACCGACTTAGCTTTGGTTGCTTTTCAACGCAAGTAACAATCAATCTATTGAATGTGGTGGTGTTCAGTGATCGTATATATATATATATACAAATCTGTATACACATATATGTTTGTGGTTTTCTAGCCAAGTTCAAGGTCATCATTTCCATCTTGAACTGGAGTGCTTTATGCCGGGTGAACAACGACCGGCAGCAGCTTCAATCCCGTGCAGTGGCGGTCATTACCAATTCTGATGGTGGATCACAGCAAGTTGGAATTGTGCTACTTCCCCAATTTGGCTATCAAAGAGGACAGCTGTGGATGCAAGAGCATCACTGTCTCAAGGCACTAAGCTCGGCAGGGCTGCACGTGGACCGAACATTTACACTGCCGTTTTCAGCCAGGGTTGATCAGAGAGACAATCGTCCTTTGATGTACCATGGGCGGATTGTGTCTTCTTTGGGCCTCTCAGAGAAAGATTGGGCCCTGAAGAACTCAGAGCTTGTCCGGAATCAACGCTGTGAGCCTGCAGAGCAGCTGCCTGCCTCCAGCATGGTCTTCGTTGAAGACTTGCAGCCAGACGCCACGCCATGCACGACCGACTTGGATGGGCTTGTGAGCGGCGCCAAGAAGTACGAGCAAGTGGGCAGTTCTGGCTATGGTCGGATTCTCCAGAGCGCAGTGGCAGGCTTGAATTTGCCACCAAAGGGTGGGATTGTTGTGTTTGACGCATCCTTGTCTGTCGGTGACTGCTTTGATGCATGGATGGATGTCAAAAATGATTGGCAAGTCCCCACTGCTTACGTTGGCCTGCCAGAAGATATGGTTGTGGCTGAATGGTTTCAGAAGACCAGGCAGCAGGCCATTGCTCGGAAGCACATGCATGGAGACCTGTCAATCCCTGGCTGTCCACGAGTCGATCCTGAGCTGCCAGCTGAGCACAAGACGCAGGCCCCTTCACTTCCTCCTTTGAACGTTCTTCAAGCTGTTGGGCCAAACAAGGCATATCCATTGATGCCAGAATCACTGATCAAGGAGCTGGTGGTTTGTTTTTTGATTGTAAGTGTTACTTGCTGTCCTTTGCACCTTCTTAGCTGCTTAATGGATAATTAATTGCCCTTCATGGTGTTGACCTTGAGTTAATTGAGCCAAGAGCTGATTCATCACTGGGAGCTGGAACGGCTCGAGCCACTGACTGTTTGACAGTTTGTTTCTGTGACTGACTTTGTAAACGTGCAAACTGTTTGGAGTCTGCAGGTATAATTGGGAAAAGCAATGCGCTAGTTTATTTTTATGTGTCCATATAATATATACATTGCAAATGGGCAGACTTGCTTTCTTGCAGGAGTGGAGCTCTCATGCGGTCTTTGGGGATACCTTCCGGTCCACCTTGGACAAGATCATTGAGGAATTTGGGGAGGCGCCATCAGCTCAAGAGGTGAAGCAGGAAGAATCTGAAGCAGGAAACCCAAAGAAGAGGAAAGGTAGGGGTGAGACTCAGGCCACAGTTGCAAAATGCACCAGGTCAGCTGTGCCTGTGAAGCAGATCCCCATCCAGTCCATTGGGAGCGAGCAAGTCCTGCTGGAGACAGAGTTGGTCAATTGCAAGAACAAGGGGTTGAAATTGCAAATGAAAGCTGGAGGGAAAGTGTATGTCTTGAATACCAGCTCCACTGCCGCCAAGCTCCCGGCGGGGTTGGTTTTGGCAGGATTTGGCAAAGGCTCTTACAAGCAGAGAGCTGCTTTGGAGCCTGTGGGAGAGAAGGAGGTTCTCTTCACCCTTCAGCCTGAGACCATGGTTTTGATGGGCAATACCTTGAAGAGTGTGAGGTCTGTGGTGGATGGAAAGCGATCCACGGATCCCCATGCCAAAGTCGCGTACCATGAGATGTCTGAGGCAAGCACGACCGAGGATCCAAGCAAGTTTGATCTGAAGCTGACAACTCGCATTGTCTTTGTCCCCACGGGCCCAGCCAAGGCCAAGGAAGAGGAGGGTGAGGGCTTCAGTGGAGCTCAAGTCTCAGCAGCCCGCATGGTACCTATGGAAGCGTGGGTGAAGGGCAGTTTGGCTTTCCCTGCTTGGTGTGTGCGCTGGGCCCCACAAGGCCTGATGCCGATTCGCCCAGTGATCGTGTTGCTGCAGGAGATCATGCTGGAGCCTGCTCATGGCGTGATGCTTTGAATGTAGCAAGCCAGTCCTGAACGCAGGTAGGGTGGCAGCATTGATTCTAAGGGGTTGAGAATCTGAAGTGCTACCTTGCTTGATGTGGCCTCTTCAGAGGCCACACGCCATTTCAATGCAGTTGTTGATGAGCACTGTACAGTTCTAGATCCCTGTGCATGTACCACACCATCCAATGTGCACGCGCAGACCATCATACCGCCATCGATCAGCTCAGAGAACAAGGAAGCTGTTTGTTGGGCAGGGTTGTTTCAGGCTAGCTTCTTGCTGTGTTTTTTTGAAGTAGGGTGTGGAGTGCAAGCCGGACACGTCTCTTGCAAGACTCAGGGCTTTTTGATGACAATCTTACACCCTTTGGCTGCCAGGTGATGTATTTTGGTCTTCATCCAAGGCCTGCCAGTTCCAGCCTGGTGTCTTTCCTACCATGCGCCTAAAACCTAGTCTTTTTTACAGGGCGCCGCAACGAGTCACTTCTCACGCTTCTACGAGATTTGCAACTGTTGAATGCCAACGGGTAGTTGCATGAGATGTCTATCAAAAGCTTCCGTGTCAGTGGACTGACAAGTGGTTTGAGTCTACCTCAAAGATGAACACATCCCAAAAGCAAACACATAGAAGCTACTATCCTCTCTTAACAAGTGTGGGTGGTTCTTTCTTTACACTTATATGGATCATGTTGGCTTCTGCACAGCTTTCAAACAGGGGTGAAGGCCACAGACCAGCAAACCAATGCCCTGACTCACCGGCGCAAGGCTCCTCATCCTCTGAAGCAAAGTGCCATCGGATAGCCTTGCCAGCTGTGGGGACACGATGTGTAGTGGTGGTGTTTCATGGCCAGAAAATTATGAATTCTTGGAGGTGTTGTTTGCCGTGTCTCTCATATCCAAACAGCGTGTGGTGGTGGAAAGGAGCAACCATTGCTTCTGGTTTCACAATCTGACCCAACCTGTGTCAGCAAGCCTCTGTTGCCCACATGGGTTTCACCATATAACACATATTAAGAGACACTCGTATTTCAATCGGAAATCTACCCATATATTTTTGCACACATTCACATACAACAGATAATTTAGTATCTTTGATATCTTTGCATTGCTTTGGGGGTTTTCTTTGTTTTGTTGTTGTGTCTGTCTTTTTCTTTCTTTCTGTTTGTTTGTTTGTGTTTGACTTTCCTCTTTATCTTTCTTTCTTTCTTTCTTTCTTTCTTCTTGCTTGCTTTGTGTTTGCGCAACTGGTTTCATGGATGGCTTGATTTGAATGATTGATTGGTGGCTTTGTTGGCTGTTTAATTGTTTGGTGGTTTGACTGACTGGTTGCTTTGTTGCTGGATTGGTTGGTTGGCTGTTAGTTGGTTGGTTGAGTGGTGTTTAAGGTGATGGATTTGACTGATTGCTTGGTTGCTGGATTGGTTGGTTGCCTGGCTGTTTTTGATTTTCATGGATGGGTGGGTGAATGGGTGGATGAAGACCTGCATGAGGGGTTGAATGTTTGATTGCTGGTTTGCTGGATTGATTCTGATTGGCTGCTTGCCTGTTTTGTTGTCCATTGCCTTTGATCGGTACCTGCATACCTGACCTACGCTAGCCTACTAGTAGGTAACTGGAATCCTGCACGAGTGCATACATACATGCGTGTTTTCATGAGTGCAAGCACAAAGAAACATATCTATGAACAATATATTCGGATTGCTTTCCAGATGCCAAGCAACAAACATGTGTTTTTTAGCAACTCGTTTCAAGTCATGTTGACTTAATGGCCCAGGAAACCCATGTTTTTGATTGTTTCAACAAATTCTTTCCAAGCCCATTGTGCGCTGACGGAAAAAGGATATTCTTTTTTCAGCCGCTGTGCCAGGTCATGTGTTTCAAACCGGGCTCCAGTGCCGTTCTACACGAGGTTTTGATTCCCACAGTAAGGGCAGAACAGCCAACAGCTTTGCTGTGGCTTGTCACAAAATCTGCAGAAATCTGCTTGGGAGCCTGTTGACTCTGTGTTTTGCACACATTCCAAGACTGGTGAAATGGCTGTGCTGATTGCCTTCCGCTGTCTTTGCAGAGTTGGAACATCATACGTTGAATCCAGCGTCCGGGCGCTGGTTCCTGTAATGGCTGAAACAATGGACGTTGCGGTTTGGCAGCTCTTCAGAAGAGTCACAGTTGTCTTCTTTAGTGAATGGGTGCCCACCCGGTCTAAGTCCAGGTCACTGCAAGGATGCGGCTTGTTTTCATCTGCAGCTTGTTTTTTCTCTTTTGCAATGGCTTTGCAAGCTTCAGCGATTTTTTCTGCATAGCTTCGTTCTGTAATTGCAGAGGTCCAATTTCTCACATTTTTCCCTCCATACACACGGCCTGGGAAAAGCAATGTGTCTTCTGCACTTTCAAAGGAAGCTTGCAAATCTTGCCCTTTCCATGGCCACTGTGAATTCCCAGGCCCTCTCAAGGGTTCTTTGGTCACCCATGTCCAGATCAGTTCTGCCAAAGATTTTTCCAACGGCACAATGCGTTCTTGGGTCTTCAAATTCACAGCTGGGATGCTGCAAGTTGGGCTTCCTGTGGACGTAGGGTTCAAATTGTTGAACCATTTGGAGGACGCCTGGCGTGTGCAGTCAGCGCGTTCCCCCAAACAAAGTTGAAGAAGCCACATCACCGCCGCCCAAGGTGATCTGCTGTCATGGACCAGCGCCCAAAATACACAGGCCACTTGCTGTGCTGTCAACGGTTCCCGCCCTCCTCTCTTCTTGGTTGGTGTCACGACCCGACTTTTGGATAGATGACCTTGACAGCAGAATCTCACCAGTTTGCAATGTGATCTCAGTGGCCGGCAAAGGCTCCGGTCCACATCTTTCAATGGCAATTGGAATGGTCGGTTTTTCACATCTGCACCACTTTTGCATCCTTTCCAGCAACACTTGATCTTGACCTTGCTGTGCTTCGCACGGCCTGGTCCTCGCTTGGGCTTTTTCAAGGAGGATTTTGCCATGGGTGAAGCTGTAAACGAATGCCACAAAACAAGACTTTGCATGTGCATGTTTGTATCTAAAATGTAGCGTTTTGTGTTGAAA